ATACTTCGACACGAATGGGCCGACTCGACCGGAGTGATACCACGGCCTCACAGAAGACCGACGAGAAACGACACTTGCGTTGTGTTTCGTCGCGTGAGTTAGGTTGCCGGAGGCCCAATTATTCTTCCTCCCCTTTCCCAATCCCAGAATCCTCAACAATCCTTAAATTCCTAATCCCAAAAGGCCATTACACACTTGTAACGCCGCTGGTGTTCCAGGTGTCCATGGGCGACGCCGATCGCTAACCATCAGGTGATCTGTCTGCTTGTTTATCGGCTTAACCCACAAAAAACCTTTTACTAAGCGTAACAAATGCATCAAAATCGGTTCGGCCAATAACGAGATATTCGCGCATAAACATTCATATAGAGGTATACAAACATACAGGTCAAATTACGAACCTCATTCATTTTTTGAAGTCAGTTAAAAAATAGAATCGATGTAAGTGCTCCATGACTCGAAAGATTCCTCTGACCTTTTGCATGGACCTTACTGGAGTATCAAAATGGAAGCTTTGCTTTGCACTGTATTTAAACTGTCAAACACCAAGCGGTCACCGGTGACCGCAACCTATTGTTCTTTAATTGTGTCTATAATGACGGTACTCAAGGCAAAGTAAACATAGTTCCATAATTCCACAATGATAGAATAAATGAACATTAATTTGTTTAAAGGTGTATTACCCCGTTGAACACACGCCGCTGTCACGTGTTGCGGTAACCGTTACACAAACACACATCCGACCCGGAACAAACATCTGTATATGGTTATAGAACATTAGCTCAAGTAGATAGGCATTATCCCAATGTGCTGATACTAATTCTGGACTAATTCGTAGAATTTGGTCTCTTATTGGTACAGCGGTTTAAGGTTATGTTAGAACTAGGATTTCGGTGTGGCAATTCTCCGTAGTTCTCAAATTGAGTTCATTTGATTGATTAATGTTTGCTAACGTTGTTCATAAAAATGCTTTGTTGGTTTAGTAATTTTGTACACTTTGGTGGCTAATTTAGTGTTGACTAATAATAAAATAATGTTTAGCCATTAGTAATCATATACATTCGCGAGAGTCTATTGCTGGATTATGTACTTCTTCTACAAAAGAAGGGCTTGGCATGACCTCAACGTTTGACTTAGATTATAACTTTCATACATCATATCTAAAACATAGAATGAATTTACAATCGAGTGAGACACATAAATACAAAATGTCGTTGTAGCCTGGAAGTCTAAGCCCGCTTCTCATGCATGAGGGTGCGGGTTCGAAACATGTGACATTTTCCGAGTTTTCTATGTACTTTCTAAGATATATATATTGGCCGAGTGGTTGCACTCGCACCTTCGAGACCTTCTCTTCAAGGGTCTCGGGTTCGATTTCCGGGTCGGGCAAAGTATAACTGGGTTTTTATAAAAAAATTTCAGTAGTAGCACGGAGTCTGGAATTGTGCCCGGTATATGGCAATAGACTCACCCCCTATTACATGGGACTCATAATATAATTAATATAAATAGTGAAAAGTGGGTTACGTCTGTGTGCACCCCTTCGGGGATAAAAGGCGTGATGTTATGTTTTGTTTTATGTTCTAAGATTGTTCAGGTATCACTGATCTGTAAACAAAACCTGGGCTTTTTAATTACAAAAAATCGCCAACCTGCATTGAGCAAGCGTGGTGATTAATGCTCAAACTTCCCCGTGTGAGATAAGGCTTTCGGTCAGCAGTGGCCACTTATTGGCTGTTGATGTGATGTGATGAAGGCACAGGTGAAAAACAAATACAAAAAACATGTAATGAAAAACTACTCGACTAAAGGCATGCCTTTAGAAAGTTATTGGGTTTCCTATTTACCTACAGAGCGTGTCTAAACGAAAGCTTCGACAGTTTTTTCAGGAACGACTCCGGTATGAAACCCATTAGTAGTCTGTACTAAAACAACAGAGCCTTTTATGCATAAAATACGAATTTTTGTTTGTAAGTTTTTGACGTTTCGTCCCGTTTTCGGAGCTTCAATAGACAACGTTGTATGAAAACAAGTAGGGTAAAGACCACTGTTGCTAGCCATCGACTTATGTCATAGAGTTATGACGCTGATTAAAATCATAATAATAATAATAATATCGTGAACCTCGTGAAAGCTAAAAAGATAAACAAATCAAATATCTTTGATCAAGATTTGACTCACGAGGTTGTCGACATGTGGAATGTAGATACGGCTATCATTGTACCGACAGTCGTGTCGGCCAATGGATTGATCCCTAATAGCCTCGACAACCACCTTAGAAGGCTAGCGTTAGGCAGTTGGGTCAAGAGCTTGATTCAGAAGGCAGTTCTCCTTGAAACGGCGCGCATTGTGAGGAGGTTTCTGTCTCTGGAGCCCTAACCACCGGTAGCTTGGACCATGCTCCCACTACTAGTCGGCTCCTATTTTTATAATTTTAAATATTATTTTTTATTCTGTAGTATTTAAAAAGTAACTTTAGTGAAATTTTAAATAAATATATGGAAATAATAATATGTCTACAACACATTATCCATAGTTTCAATTTAGTCTGACCCAGAAATTAAACTAGAGACTCGTGTTCAACGAGGCAATCATATTAAATTATTATGATCAATGCAACATTGAGTTCCTTTATAACAATATTAGAATTGTAGATGCACTTTGTTCAACCGGTCCAACTAAGACACTAATGGTATAAAATGGCACGTTCAGGTTTAAGAAAAAACAAAGCTTTTAAAGTTAAAACGCCAGTAATTTAGTTAATGATTGTGATGAGCACAATTAAGTTACATTTAAATTCTTAATGGATTGCTCTTTTTCTAAACGATCGCGTTTTCCTTGTTACTCAGTGAGATTAATTTTACAATGCATCTTCGAGTTTTGTGTCCTTCAAGTCGATTGAAAGAGTATTTTGTTTGTTTGGGCACCGGTTAAGATTAAAAAGTGACATTTTTTTTTAAGGTTTCACGAGTTTTATGAGACACCAGTTACGTATTTTTAATTGAGTATGTCAATAATTCTCAGTAGTAGCACAGAGTCTGGAATTGTACCCGGTATATGTCAATAGGCCCCCTATTACATGGGACTCACAACATAAAAAGTGAAAAGTGGGTGTTATATTATACAGTGGCATCACCTGTCGTAATGTGCAGCTCTGCCTATCCCTCAGGGGATAAAAAGGCGGGATGTGATGTTATGTCAAATATATTTTTATATTAATATAGCTACTTTCGCACGGTTTCACACGCTCTGCTCAGCTCCTATTGGTCGTAGCGTGATGTTATATAGCCTATAGCCTTCCTCAATAACTGGACTATCCAACACAAAAAGAATTATTCAATTCGAACCAGTAGTTTCGGAGATTAGCGCGTTCAAACAAACAAACAAATAAACAAACTCTTCAGCTTTATAATATTAGTATAGATTACGGTTTAGCAATTTTTATTATTAGACAGATAACAGTTGCATTTACCCTACACGATGAAACCTATAGCGTTCCATGCCTTTGAATGCAGACTGTGCAGTAGGTTTTGATTTTATTTTTGTATGACGGGGACAAAGGATGGATTCGTATGAACAAACTAGCTTTTGTTGAAAACATGGTCAAACGGGATTGGGTCAATGTATCGCATTGTAATTAGGGTAAAAGGTAGTTTGTTAAATGTTTGTGAGTATAAAATTGAATTCAAAATATGGCGTCCTAAAACAAACATAGCATTACGCCTTTTTTCCCCGAAGGGGCAGGCAGAGGTGTACATTATGCCACTGTACAATGTACCACCCACTTTTCACTATTTATGCTATGAGTCCCATCGGGGGTGAGCCTATTGCCATATACCGGCCACAATTCCAGGCTCCGTGCTACTACTGAGAATTTATAAAAACTCAGTAGTACTTTGCCCGACCCGGGAATCGAACCCGAGACCCCTTGGCCGGCAGTTGGACTTGCGACCACTCGGCCAACGAGGCATCCTTTAACATTTGATTTTAAAAGTTGAGATGTACTTAATATATTTACATTTCTGTTCTATTTTTTTTTTCACTTTTGTAATGTAACCAAACGAAGACTTTGTTTGTTTGCTTAACTTACAAATAGACTAAAAGTCCGAAGGTGAACTCCGATAATGTATTGTAAATTTTACAATTACCTATATTAATTGCGTAGGTACTAAATTAACTAAAAATCGCGGGATATTCACGTGAATAACTCACGAATAAGTCACGTGAATTACGGTACTGTTTACTTTATTCTTTATGTAAACTTAACGGAACCGTATATCTACTGTAATAATGCTTACTCCTCTCTACTATAATGAATGTGTGAGTACAAAAACAAACTTTACAACAAAACACCCAACCCATTCATAAATACATTATTCAATCCGACTGTCACACTAAAATCAATACCATATACGTTAAAACATAAGTGCCTGTATTGAGTAAACCTTCTGCATAATAATCTGTCTATCATAATAACTTCGTTAGCGTGCTCTCACTTCGCTAATTTAATGAGGAAGCTGTCTTATGTCAGGCACAGAGCGTCTTGATGACTGCGTACGTACGGCACGGTAGGGTGTGGGTGAAATTTCAACAAAATTGCAATATTTTGTACTCCGTCTACTGTTTCTGAGTTGTTGTTTTGACAGCAAACCAGTTTTTGGTTGTATTCTGAATTTTATTCAATGTAGGCACTTCCAAGAAAGTTGTTTAAAATTTAGCTAGAATGTTCCCTGAATATAAACTTAAAATGGAATGAAAAGAAAATAATAAACTTGGTAAAGTAATATATTTATTTATTTATTTAAACACACTTTGAACACACCGCACTATACAACATTACTAAAAGACTACCAAAAAAAAAAAAAAACTGAATGAACGGTTTGCTCGACAAATCTAAGATCTATTACTTGATAATTACCGTCACAATTACTATAATAAAAGAAGCATTTAAACAAGAAATTGCTGTTAATAAACACACAACAATTAAAAATAAACTCCCAAGGTCAGCGGCCATCTTGTCGAACTAATCCTTATTATCGGAACCGAGTGCTTTATCAATACTTGTGAACACGCTGGTGCAGACCTTCTTGCAGCCTCGTTTGAATAGCATCACAGACTTGCCAAGCACGAGCAGTTTCTGTGCCTTTCTGTGCTCGTTCTGTTCTGGTTTGCGACGGCGTTTTGAACGACGATGGAGCTGGATTTCTACTGCCAATGATATTGCTGGAAAATAGATGTCGCTATTGATGTGTTTGTTTTTTTTTTTGGTGAAAATATGGACTTGAAATTTAAAAAAAAATTATGATATCTTCTTAATGCTGAGAACATGACAACGTGACATGATTTTTGAATATCATCCCGTCGTTTTACAATATTTTCACTATATTATCTAAAAAGCGTAAAACATCTCTAAGAAAATAACATGACCCTATCTTTCTGAAGCAATTGGATCCTAAAATACCTAAACCAATTATTTTTTTTAGACAATGCCATTTAATCACTGAATAAAATCTATTTCCTTCGTACTAAAACGTATTACTGTTAATACTACCTGCCAACAGATGTCCAATACCAAGCAAACAGAATGCGCCTCTGAGCATCCTCAAAGACACTGGCTGCAGACCTTTTGTCGACTCTCCTTGTGGCTGCAAATACAAACTTAGATAGTATAGCAACTGTTATGTATATCTAGTACTTTGTGTTTAGATTTGAAGCGGTAGAATTGGTGTCATTGTTGTATTATGGTTGCGGTGATTGATACGGCTATTGATAAGTTACCAAGCGTTCTTTGACAGTGATTTTGATAAAATGAAGTTCTTTATTTGGGAATTCGAGCACGGAGTTAAAAACTCAAGTATAAGTAATAGCATAAGTAACTCAAAAGTAAGTGAACCTATGTTTGCTTCCTATTACATTGTTATTAATACAATATTAAGTTTATCGGGTACTTATAAATAAAAGTGGTGGAACAGGCCCAAGGCATCACTACATAGTATAAAACAAAGTCGCTATCCACCGTCTGTCTGTCCCTATGTATGCTTAGATCTTTAAAACTATACAACGGATTTTGATGCGATTTTTTTTGACAGATAGTGATTCTTAAGGTAGGTTTATATATGTATAATACGTGCGGGTGCTAGTACATTTATAAATAAACAGGTTGTAAATTCAGAGTTTTGGATTTAAAAAAATCTATAGAAAATTTAATTAAAACAACCATTTAGGACAATTTAAAACATTTTAAAGTCTTGATTATCTTCTACGTACAGTTTGTGAAGAAGTAGCAGCGGACTCTCCCATGACCTCGCCCCCCTGTTTGTCACTCTCTGTCACGGGATCCGACCTTCTAGCATGTTCTGGAAGATTCTTGTACTCATCCGTAGTCATCTTCGCAACAATACCCGCTTCAAATAATGTCATCACACTGTGAAGAAAGGTAATAAGTACTTCTTATTTGGGGCTTGAAATTCAGTCTTATTGGTAAGAGAATAAAGTTGTTAGAGAAGTATTTACTTCAATCGAAAATAGTTCAAATGTTCAATGGTATAAAAGAGTAATAGTATTGATTTTAGTTTATTATTATCTTGTCTGGTATTTTGATTGCTCTACGGAAGAAATTAAGGCTGTCCTCAATCTTCCAGTACTTACGATGGTGTTATAAATAAATAGAGCTGACTTAAATACGTATTTTTATCATAGAAAACAAAATGTGACTGCCTCGTTGGCCGAGTGGTCGCAAGTGCGACTGCTGGGCAAAGGGTGTCGGGTTGTTTCCCAGGTCGTGCGAAGTATTATTGGATTTAAAAAAATCTCAGTAGTAGTAGTAGGGAAATTGTGCCCGATATACGGCTATAGGGTTACTCCCTATTACATGGGATTCATAACATACATAGTGGAAAGTAGGTGTTACATTGTACAGTGGCATTAAGTGCCGTAATGTGCACCTCTGCCTAACCCTTCGGGGATAAAAGGCGTGATGTTATATTATGAATCAAAATGTTAGAAATAGTTTTCAATAACGTCCTCAACTTTTGAAGGTGTTTTCTATTTTGGTATTTTTCTATTATACTCACACATTGTTAAAAGTTTCCAAATATGGGCATCCGATTTGTAAAGCGATTGCTGAATACCGTGTGTACAGCTTTTCACTCAAGTGAAAGTTATGGGAGCCTGGAAAATAAGTTCAAACCCTCTATACTATAAGAATGATATTTGCTAAACAAAATTATGTCATATTTTTATAATAACTATCGTGAGACATACTAAATTAACTAAAGTCGCGGGTTACTCACTCTCACACAGTGAGCTGCGCGACGTCGCCGCGACCGCGCACGCTGCTCATGAGGAGGAACCCCTCTGTGGTTCGAAACTAGTAGAGCCTTTCTCAGTATATAGTACGTTAGTAACCCGCGACTGTAGTTAAAATTAAAACACTCTATTTGCTTTAAAAAAAAATGGTCTGTAATGACACTGATGCTAGTTTGGAAGTCGATAGAGATGATTTGAAATAGTCTCAGCGGTTTTCATGTGAGAGTGAGAGTGAGTGCATCATATTTAACCAAAATTACCACTCAACCTCAGATTCATACAGTAGTGTATTAGTTTTCTTTGATGTTAACTGGACCTGTAACTTGTATCGTATATAAATATTCTTGCCGCTCTTGCCCGCGACTTCATCCGCGTAGAATATTAATTTTAGAACATAACTTTATTTTGTTTCAATTTTCTAAATAAAGTAGCCTATATTACTCTTTAGTACATCAGCTACCTGCTAATAAAAGTCTTGCAAAATCGGAAATTGCTTACCAAATCTCTCAGTATCATAGTAAAGTGTTTCTCTCCCACCCAGTACAGCGACTCGTTTATGTGACAGAACAAGTCGCACGCCCACCTCAACGTTGCGTACGCGCTGCACTCTTTGACGACGCATCAGATTCGCTAGACGACCGTACACACCAGTACCGTTCTAAAAGGTAATTTATTTGTTAGTTGGAATTAGAAAAAATGTCTTTTAATGGTGTTGAAATGTTAAAGAGAATTCTGCGATTTATCAGGTACTATTTAATCGCCATTAAAGGCATATTAATCTTCAAACTTAGAATATTATAAAGTAATCATTATTATTAATAGCAATCTATGATTGCAAGGTTGGTGCGGTGGCTGCGCAAACCGGCTGCTGCGCAACGTGTTGCGGGTTCTCCATTCTCTGTCTCTCTCGGTTCTCTGAACAACACTGTGTGATCCACAAATTGTTGTTTCGGGCCTGGTTGTCATGTGTATGTGAACTTGTATGTTTGTAAACGCACCCACGACACAGGAGAAAATTCTAGTGTGGGGCAATGATTTAAAAAAAAACACATTTTTTATGGATTTGAGGGTTAGATGCAGCATCGGATTTATCTTCTACAGTCGCAATAAAAAACGGTAATGACGCGGCTAAAATTATAATTTTTTTAAAACAAAACTTAACAATATTAAACTGAACGATAGAAAATGTCACTATCACATGTTGTGAGTATAAACACATAACAAGGCTTTAATATGCCACATTATAACAACGGATCTAGTAAACTATGGAAACGTATGAAAAATCGTGCGCCTGAAAAAACAGGCTTTACTGTAATACTCGTTCGCAATTGTATGAAATCATAATATCTGCATAATAATGTGATATTAATATTGTATCAACCAATGAATACACAGGGATTATACCAAAAATCGAACTTATTTTCAGTTAATTAACGCCTTAAATTAGTTACTTTTGGATTTATGCAGATTTTGACAAAACTCAAGGGAACTGTCCATTCAATTCTATCATCAATCTAACAGAAATGCATAAAATCATAAATAAAAAAAAGAGCACGACGACGTGTTTCTGTCCTTGTCATTTCGGGCGTGACGTCATTGCTGTGTCATTGGTTTTATTTTTGGTTTACTAAACTTTGAATTTAGAAAGCGAAGAAAATCTACACTTGTCCTTGTGGTTTCGGGCGTGACGTTGTTGACGTATCACTTGTTTTTAAGCTTGTCAGAGTGTTGCGACGTGCAATAAAAACAAACATATTATCGCATTTACTTATAAAATAATGCTAGAAATAGTAACATGACCTTATCCAAACTTACTTCAAGAATAGCTAATGAAGAGCTGTGACTTTCCACCACTAGTTCGTATCCATAGTCCCTCATGGCCTCCTCTAATGCTGCCAAGGTTCCTATGGGTCGTTCCCTTGAAGGTTTAGCGATCAAGCTGGTAAGGTTTGCTGAGTACATGTCTCCTATGACGTAGGTTGCTCCGAGCGAGATCAGGACGGATACCAGGCGGGCCTTATGAGTGCTAGAAGGTTCTTTGCTGGATGCTGGAAGACAAGAGATGTAGTGTTAATTAGTATGGGGCTTTTGAAAGCTAGAAGCTGTAAAGGGTTGAGTATCATTTAGATATTGAAGGAGTCTTACATTGTCTCAAGAATAGTGTTGTGGTGAACCAACAGCAGCTACTGAATAGTGATAACTGATCACATTTACGCTTTTGCCACAGCGACTGGGCGGCGATGACTATCCATAGCGCTGGTCCGGTCACCAGCAACGTTGCAAATACTAGTGGCCATACCTTGGAATAGAAAAGGAAACAACAAAAAGTAATTTTGTAGATAGGATGAAAGGCAAATGGGGGTTAAACTTAATTGGGGGTCACTGCCCCATCACGAGGCAAAGGCTTCTAATACGAAGAACGAATGAACATTAATCATCACGCTTGCTGAAGCCGGATAGGCGATGATAAAGATCTTGAAGAATGTAGTTTGTATATTAGTTACCTCCCACTGAAATGGCCTAATGATGGCCAGGGTTTCACTCAACTTCGCCGGAGCATGTGTAAGGAAAGCCCCTGAGTCTGCTAGGGTCATGAACGAGAATTCAACTGCTTGCAGCCTCTCCCACGTCATTGTTACGTCGCCAAGGAAGAAATCGGCTTTCTGGACAAAAATAATGTATTAAAGAGTTGTCCTTGATAATGTATATAAAGTGATTTGTAGACTAGGATCTGCGTAGGAGTACATAAGTTTTTTTTATGGCATAATCCGGTAAACGAGCAGACGGATCACTTGATGGTAAGCAATCGGTGTCGCCCATGGACATCTGGAACATCAGAGGCGTTACAAGTGCGTTACCGGCCTTTTGGGGATTAGGAGTTTGAGGATCGTTGGGGATTCAATTTGGGGAGATTGGGGAAGGGGAGGGTAATTGGGCCTCCTGTAACCTCACTCACACGACGAAACACAACGCAAGCGTTGCTTCACGTCTGTTTTCTGTGAGGCCGTGATCTTGATATTCTTGATTGATAATAATTATTTAAATAATCAAAACTGATTTTAATTACTCCAGTATTCTGTAAATAATAATTGCGACTGTTGAAGTTGGTGAGTCTTAACCTATTTGGGCCGAGGCATTCGGTTTTCAATTAAGAATTCCGATTGCTGGTCTCATTCATAGATCCTGTGTAACTGGATCGGGATTGGACTAAACAAAAACACTGGTGAAAAGTTACTACACAATCAATAATACATGTCAGTCTATCCCCTCGGAGTATAACAGGCGTCATATTAAGTTATGATTGAAAACAAACAACGCAAGGGTAATTTAATTGTTCTATTGTATTCCTTTGAGAAATTATTTTGTCTGTAACTATGGGTACTCACACGTTTCCAAATCAAGCCGAGCGTGCCCTTGAAAGTTCCATTACCAGAAATACTTGACCCTTGGCTTCTGTCTGGTGGATCGTAGTACTTGTACCTAGAGGACGAACAGAGGTTATTGGTTGAAAGAGAAATAGAATAACGGAACATTATAGAAGAAAATAGGTGTTTTGTTAACCGACTTCGAAAATAAAATTTTTTCCCAGTTGTGTGTATTTATGTTTGTTTGTCTCTCACGATTGGCTGAACAGATTTTGATGTGTTTTACAAAAAAGTATTTGTATACTTCGGAGAAGGTTTTAGTTAGGGCGTTGGCGTTAGGTTAAGGCGTTGAGGTCCGCGATCTCATAGCGGAATGGCAGCAACGACTGTCGCAACCGAGGGCTGGGCTCGCTGCCATCGCAGCGGTAAGTCCCCTCTTTAAGGAGTGGCTTGAGAGACGCTACGGCGTCCTCACCTACCGCCTGACGCAGGTCCTCACCGGACATGGGAGTTTCGGGAGGTACCTGTGTCTGATGGGGCGGGAGGAAACGTCTGGGTGTCATCACTGCGAGGACCGCCCTGAGGACACGGTGGAACATACTGTAGCGGAATGCCCTGCGTGGGCTGAGCACCGCCGTGTCCTCAGGGAAGTGATCGGCGATGGCGACCTCTCGCGTCCGGGCCTAGTGCAGGCCATGATGCGGAGCGAGGGGGATTGGGATGCCGTCTCCTCCTTTTGCGAAGCAGTCATGCTAGCTAAGGAGGAGGCGGGACGCGTGAGGCAGCGAAGCGCTGCCTCCTCGCAACCCAGCCATCGCGAAGGACACACCGGGCGTCGGGGATCGCGGGACGATCTCCGGCCACCGTAAGCGCGGGCCTGCGGACGGCGAGCATGGGTGGCTCCCCGTCCGACCAGAAACAGACCCGAGCGTACGGCGCGTCGCGTTCCGCGCGCGCCTCAAAGAGCCATCAGACCACCACAGATGGGGCCCAATAGGGTCGATGCCGATTCGGAGTCGCGGGGGTAACCGGGGCTCCGGCTCGACGTGCAGGAGAAGAAACGGGGTGGTTTTTAGTCAGTAAGAGTCTGACACTCCCTCCCGCCTCACCCAGGTGGGAGCAGTCATTGGATGATTTTCCCCCCTTAAAAAAAAAAAGGCGTTGAGGTCAGTTTTTTTTAAACGTGGTTTATTAAAGAATTATTCCAGCAATACCTACTCTTAAAACGAAAGTTGTCTTTGAACGCATGGGCCACGAAAATCTACAAAACTGATGGGCAATAAAATGTGCATTTGTATTTAGATGATTCCAATTATTATGCAAGCAAAATCATAACCAATATTTTGTGTTTAACAAGAAAAAAAATTAAAAAATATATTTTTTTTAAACTAAGAAATCAGTTAAGGGCTATGTTACTTGAAGTTCAGCTTCTTAGCAATTAACGCGAGCAGTTTGTCGTCGCGTCCTCCGGTAACAGTGATTGTATTGTCATTGTTGTACTTCACGAAGTGCCACGGTGGTGCCTGCAAAAAGATCTTAAACCTTTTTCTTTTCTTATTAACGCATTTTAGTAGTTTCACCTCTATGCTATGTTAAATTTTTTTTACTCGACTTCCCAGAAGGGAGAGTAGGTTCTCATTAGTAATAATTTTTCTTTTTTTATAGGTTAAGCTGGTAAACGAGCAGATGGATCATCTGATGGTAAGCCATCGGCGCAGCCCATGGACATCCCAAACACTAGAGGCGTTACAAATACGTCACCGGCGTTTTGGGATTAGGAATTTGTGGATTATTGAGGATTCAGGAATTGGGGAGATTGGGAAGGCGAGTAATTGGGCCCCCGGTAACCTCACTCACACGACGAAACACAACGCAAGCGTTGTTTTACATCGGTTTTCTGCGAGGCTGTGGTATCACTCCGGTCGAGCCGGCCCATTCGTATCGAAGCATGGGTCTCCCACACTTAAAAATCTCACACTTAATGTGCCAGTGTAATGGTTACTATCATTAAGAACTGGTCTATCAAAGATATTGCACTTACATGCAAGACTGGAACTTCAAAGACTCTGCCCTTAAAGTCGTGGTAGACTTTATCAGGAGGTGGCAGTACTGGAGACTTGTATAGACGACCTGACCACCAGTTCACCAGGGTCAAGTGGTTCAAACGGTCTGAAGTGCCTTGGTTGTAGTAGATGCGAAACCTGAGATGAAAAAGAAGAAAAACATGCTGAAATGACTTGAAATGAAGAGCTTAAATTGTACGCTTGACTATAATTTGATAAGTTTGAAAAGACAAATGTTTCTACTTATTTAATAGGTAGGTAAGTAACTGGGGTATTGCGATGAGACGGCGCGCAACGTGTCGTGGGTTCGACTCCCGCAACTCTTTGTGTGATCCACTGATTGTTGTTCCGAGTCTCGGTGTCTCATGTGTATGTGAAATCGTATGTTTGTAAACACACCCACGACACAAGTGAAAATCCGAATGTGGGAAAAGGTTTTAAAAAAAAATGGTTGTAGGTTTGCTAACTGACCGAAAAACAATTTCGCAAAAGCGAAATTTTCCATATACACGAATAACACTTAAGAAAAGAAACAAACAATCCAAAAATAATAATTTAATCACAAAAGTAGCGACGAAAACCTCTAAAAGTGACGCTAATCCTATCAGAACTTGTAATCTCATTACACACAACAAGTAAATTAAAAATAAACCTTATTGAACAATATTTCCACGTAAACTGGGTGCTAAAATTAAGAATGACAGCTTCATTGCGGTAAACTAATAAAGGCCCCGAATGTTTTCTTTGGCGCTTATAAAATATTGGGGGCCAAGTCTCAATCGGCGTACGTCTCAATCAAATTACGGGGCACGTGATTGTCCAAGACTTTGTATTCGTTGAATTTCGTTGTGAGGCCATTCAACTAAAGTGGGAGGTACGATGTAATTTTTAGATGTACCCCAAGGCGCAGTGAGGCAATCAGTTGGCGTATGGTTGCTATAGGAGATAGATGTATTTTAGAACATTTCTACAACTTAGGGTTGATAGTGGATTGTCTTGTTTTATGTTTTAAACAGTATTTGATTTTAGTTGGTTAATGAACAATAACGGTTGTAAATATGTAGTCGGATTTTCGGTTCGAAATCTAATTCGTTAAACTTATTATGATAGTTTTATTTTAGCTTTATAATGTACCTTAATAAAGCTGATTATATTTTTTATAGCTTTTAATTTTTCAGAAAATTTGTTCGTAACTAAGACATATTCATTTTCACACTTCAAAAGTGTAAGTAAGAGAGACAGTACGTAATACACTAGACGTTTCCTAATTCAGTTTTCCTTGTAATTTGACGGTCAATACACAGAGGAACGTCTCTCTTTATCAATTGTATCGCTCTCGAATGTCTAACGAAGCGATTTGATTCTCTGGAATGCTCACCGAAAATTGTACTCAATGTTAAACGCTGTGTATTTGTGACGCAATGTTAATACTTCGCCTTCCTTACGGCCTATTTTAATAATTTATCTGTAGATGGATTTGGTTACTAAAGGTAGAATTGTATGTGTATTTTTTATGGAATAAGCCGGTAAACGAACAGACGGATCACCTGATGGTAAGCAATCGGTGACGTCTTGGATATCTGGAACACCAGAGGCGTTACAAGTGCTTTACCGGCCTTTTGGGGATTAGGAGTTTGAGGATCGTTGGAGATTCAGGGATTGGGGAAGGGGAGGGGTAATTGGGCCTCCGGTAACCTCACTCTCACAACGAAACACAACGCAAGCGTCGTTTCTGTGAGGCCTAGGTATAACTCCGGTCGAGCCGGCCCATTCGAGCCGAAGCATGGCTCACCCACACTCAAATGTCTAGATGTTATGTCTAGATAGAATTTTGATTTTATGAAGGATTTAGAAAATGTGCGCCAAAAATAGGAATTGTTCGTTATGTTTCGGAATTTGTGCATACTTTCTAAAAAATATGCTATTTATAAATTTCAGATAAGATGAATCATTGTGAATGTTCGTATACGAATATAATAAAATACTATAGTAAATTAGAAGTACCTTACCCATACGCACTACCGATCACATCAATGTCAAGTTATACAACTACGTTAGTTGTAATGCAAATTAAATCAATGAATGCATTTATTTTACAATGAAAATATATAAACAATACACAAAGGTCCATCCATTATAATGAAACGTCAATATGTCTAACATTTAACGTGAGTTTGTTTACATAGTTGTGACGTCACAGCTATTGCATTGTCTGCTTAATGTTTTAAATGGGGCGGAAACCCGGTGTTCAATATTAAATGAGGGAGTTATTGAGTGTTGCTAATTATTAAATTGTGGGAAATGTATTTAGAATTGGAATTAAAATATTATTTGAAAGCTTGCTATGCTCAGTAGGTTGAGACTGCGGTTGAGACTGCAAATACTGAGGAATTTAACTTGAGTCAGTGTCCCCGGTATTATTTAGTATTTTTTTTTACTGCACGATCTTTTTCCGATTTTAACATTGTGCCCCTCTCTTGTAACAATAACCGACCTCGTATATCAATCTGCTCAATCTTAATAACCACGCCAGATACTCCTAAACTAATAACGATGCTTAATTTAGAATTTATACAGTCTACAATTTTTCCATTGAAAAATTTCCGTTGATTTTTCCGCATGCCAGTGTAAATATGCGTCGGCGTTGTGTATCGTTAACCCAATTACACGACGGTGGGTAGGCAGGTATCTACTTATTCAATTATAACATTATCCATTAATTATCGTTTCATCAGTATTTCCATTATGTTTTAGCGCTGCAGAGTGGCAGAGCTTTTAAAATAACGCAGTTTTATTACTAAAGTTTTTCTTTTTAAATTGATTACATGTTGTCCTTATATTTTGGAATGTTATATGCTATTTTGACGTTGTAAAATCACTCTATTACTGTATACAGTAACTTTTAAGTCAGCTTCAAAAGAAAGAAGTGAGAAAGGTTGAGATGTAGAGGACAAAGCGACAATGATTTACTTTTTTTGGTTAAAGTCAAGTCAAAGATAATGATAAAGTCAAAATCATTTATTTCAGAAACTCCAGAAATTCCAGAAAGGCACTTTTAAACGACAATATTTTTTTTTGAAGTGAAGTTTTTTGAAATGACAGCTATATGCTCCCATTCTCCACGCATAACAAATAAATCAAGTACCTGTCCATAATGTAGTTTATTAACACTTGATTACCTGTAAAATTTCATAGAAAGAATACCTATGACATTTTATTACCCATAGAAAAATGGAACTCACACACTCTCCCTAGGGTTTGTGATGACTGCAACCCTCATGGCTTCCTTGATGGTCATCAGAAAGGTCTCGCTCACCGGTCCATAAGACCAGTAGAAGATGTACAAGATCATACTGTGGATCAGGTTGTTGTCCGTCAACTGAAAGAATAAATGCGAACTACAAATATTCGTCATCACAATATTATCAGCCTAAAGTCCATTACTGAATATAGGCCTCCACTAATGACATCCAGTTTGGATGATTGAAAGTGACATTTCATAAAAGTTGAAAAAAAAACACCAGTATTCATTGAAGTGCTAATTTAAAACATAGAATGCTTGGCGCGGTAGCTGGGCGACTGGCTGCCGCGCAACGTGTTGCGGGTTCGATTCCCGCACGGAACAACTCTTTGTGTGATCCGCAGATTGTTGTTCCGGGTCTGGATGTCATTGTGTATGTGAACTTGTATGTTTGTAAACGTACACACGACACAGGAGATAATCCCGGTGTGGGGCGACAGTCACTTAGTGGAGCTTCTTTTTATTATATTTTAATGGATTTCCTATAAAGAACACATCACAAAGCAGACATTTTATGAATAATCCTTTACCTATCTTCTATTATAACCTCAATGTACCTAGTCTCCATTCACTGCCGTTCACCCAACTCAATAGGATTAAAGTCCAAAGTAAATTAATATTACTGAATAAATTATTTGTGTAGTAAATTAAAATTGTGTGTTGAATGGCGTAACAGATTCAACTGCACGCTTTAATAATGTTCCGAACCGTTAATAAATTCAAATAGAGATGCAAAAAGTGATTTATTAATGCAGTCAGCGCCATCTTTTTAATTAATGTAAACTGTGGAATATTAATTATGGAACGTTGTAATTCATGTACAATTTTGAATGATTTTATCTTTATAATGAGCGGGCAAATGTTGTTTATTTGTTTATTATTTGAATTTAGGTTTTTTAGGTATTTTATTACAAAACTTGTTTCTATTTTGTACATTTAAAATAATAGTAACTACAATTATCACTGACACATACTCTTAATTTCAGGAAATGTAACGATTTTTCGAAAAACCGAAAACGACCCAGAAATATTTTCTGAAATCGGAAATCTATGCGCTTAGCAAAGCGTTCAAAACAGCCTAGCAAGGCCGTCGCATTTAAGATTACTGATCAACGAGACAATCTTGTCAGTTAGTTTAGAAATATATCATAAAAATGTGTTGCCAAGAGCAAGTTAAGAAACAACTAAACTAATCCGATAATACTTCTTCAGATCCTACCTCTATTACCAGGAAAACAGAATTAGTAGAACTAACGAGCAGACGCATCACCTGATGCGAAGCAATCAGCGTCGCTCAGGGACCCCTGGAACACAAGAGGCGTTACGAGTGCGTTACCAGCCTTTTGGGGATTAAGAATTTGAGGATTGTTAGGGATTCAAGGATTGAGGAAGGAGAGATAGTAATTGGGCCTCCGGTAACCACACTCACATGACGAAACACAACGCAAGCGTTGTTCCACGTCGGTTTTCTGCGAGGTCGTGGTATCACTGCGGTTGAGGCGGTCCATTCGTGCCAAGGCATAGCTCTCCTACACTTCATTGAATTGTTGACTTTATATCAAAACTATAAAGTTAAAAATAAAAAATTCACAGAAAATACTAGTATTACATTTTGGTGTCTGTACTAAGTACTTGGTTTTGCAAAATTCTTAGTGGCAATGGCAGTCTAGATTCTTGTCAACAAGGATGATTATGTCCGACTGCTGTCATTCAAAGTATGTACCTACTTAGTACTTTAGGGAAAGTCTTAGTACCTATTTAAACTTCAATACTTAGAGGCTAAAATGTCTTTGGTTCTGAGTTATATAATAGTACCATATTTAAAGAAATTGTTTAAATAGCGTAGGTGTATTTATGATTTAAAAAATGTAGGATGAAACTGCGGAGATAAAGAAGTGCTCTTTGTTTATGCCGGCTGATGATTTAATGTGATTTTTGTTTTAATACACTTCACACTAATATTACAAATGTGAAAGTTTCTTTGTGTACATGTTTTTCCGTAAATCACGCTGAAAGTACATAACGGATTTTGATGAAAATTTGTAAACAGGCAGAGTATGGGCTGACTTAGGTGATACGAATTTTTATCCCGATTAAATACTCCCATGAGATAAAACAGAAATACACGGGCAGAGACGCGGGTAAAAGCTGGTTACGATATAAATAAGAAAAACTTCAAATTACCTCAAAGAGAATATTCTCGCATTCGTAAGGCTCACATAGTATGAGACTGGTCCGTTGATCTGACACATCTAAAGCCTTTTTCAGTAACGCGTAGTACTGTAACAAATAGTATAATGTTTATTATTCACTTGTTTCACTTGCTTCACTTGTTTCACTTGTTTCACTTGTTTCAATTGTAATAAAGCGTTGCTTAAGGGACGACGTACTCCATCGTAGACCGCATCATTGGTTACCACTAGCGAGAGAGAGCGGCGAGATAGTGGTCAAACGTCGGCCCATCAAATATATATATTATACAAAAAAAGTAATGTAACATTCTGCCCCGGGGTTGTGAGAAAAGTCATCACTCATCGACAAATAAGCACACGGCCCACCTGACGGTAGGCCGTTACCGTGGCCTATGTCTGCTTGCAACACTTAGGCCATTACATTTTCCCTTATAACATGGGACTCATAACATAACATAACTAGTGATGAAAACTAACACACTACGACCAAGCAACAACTATGTATTTCTATCTGTATACAGAAAAATCTTTCTAGAAATAATTTCTCAGTAAATTCAGGCTAGGAAATTGGGTCTTTTTACCTTTTGTTTGTTTTCCTTTGTTGCTATGTCCAGATTCGTAGTCAGAACATTGTGCTCACTGAGCATACATAACAGTTCAAATATGTCCTGTGACCTGTGAGAACAAATACAGTATTTTTATCGTGCCTATGTAGTATGTAAGTTTTGTAGCATATGACAATATGTTTTATTTCTTTAGAGGATATAGTTCTATAGTATTGCGCTATTTTTTGTGGAAAACCGTGTCGTATAATACCTAATCTTCCCGCAGTTGTCATAAGAGTCAATTAAGGAACATAACATAACATCACGCCTTTTATCCCCGAAGGGGTAGGTAGAGGTGCACATTATACCACTATACAATGTAACATCCACTTTTGACTATTTATGCTATGAGTCCCATGTAATAGGGGGTGAGCCTATTGCCATATACCGGGCACATTTCCAGACTCCGTGCTACTACTGAGATTTTTAAAAAACTCAGTAGGTAATACTTTGCCCGACCCGGGAATCGAACCCGAGACCCCTTGCCCGGCAGTCGCACTTGTGACCACTCGGCCAAAGAGGCAGTCAAAAAATTTAAAACATCAAACTCTCGGTGAGTGCCCTATAAAATCAGTTAATTTTGTTAAGCCCTCAGTGGTAAATAACACTTTGTTACCTGATGTTTGTAGAATTTCCTCTGACAATAGTAATGCTTCTCGAAGGTAATGCTTCGGCAATATCCTTTACAGCAACTGAGAAATCCTTCGGCAGTGTAGTCATGATATCTGATGTCACATCTCTAACATCGAAAAACCCATAAACTGATACGCCATACACAAACAATATAATTCTTAACAATTTTATGAGTAACATGTTTAGTTTTTTGGAAATTTAATTTTATATTCAATACGTTTTGGTAGATTTTTCTCTACCTGGAATGGCTGGCTTTTTTTTACTTAAAAATAAACCTTGAGACGGTCGAAAAACATAAGTGTTTTGTTTATTAAGACTGCGAAGATTGTTACATAAAACAGAATATATAATTTGATAATAATTTATGTCGAAATAAAACTAGAAACATCTACATTTCTATATAAATCTCTTTGAACTAAGTTCCTTTGAAGAAAATTCTAATAATTTGTAACGAATTCAATGCTCTCTCCGACCGACCGAGTTCGATGACTGGCTCGCGACTAATTCTCTCTAATATCTTATGATATTACCTACTTCTTATGTTATATTTTTGTCAAAGATTAATTGAATAGATGCGATAATATTTTGCCCGAACATAATGTACTTAATTTTGTAGTTATTGTTTGTAATTATGAGGATTTATTGTTGAAATAAAAAAGTATGTAAGAATACTAATGATCAAGTCTGTGTAATTAAACAAATTAGGTATATTAGCAATAAAAAAGTTTATATTATAGTACACAATCTTTTATGGCGACTGATCTCTTTAAATGGAAACCATTGATTAAGGTTAAATGCGGAAAATTTCGCTGTAACGTTTACAATATGAATAATTTCAGTTATGTTTACACCATAGGAAGTATAGATTCTACACTACATATACTATTTACACAATCAATTATTTACAACCATTTTACACGTCAAAGTCAAAGTCAAAGCATTTATTTCAATTAATCCTTAATTAGGCACTATTGACACGTCAAAAATTGAATTGTTCGTCCGTCTGTGTATCAGTGAAGCTGGGCGCTCGTTCCGAAGTACAGTTTCGATTGGAGAAGAACGAGCAAGAAACTCCATCGTTACTCTTTAAAAAAAATGTTTTTTTTTTCATCGAAACATCGAAATCCACGGCCCAACTAAGTGATCAATATTTGCATGTCGATAAGCATTCATATTTCTTTACATAGGGAACTGTTACAAAAGCCCAAATATCCAAGTGTTATGACATCTGTTCATCATATTTTTGTTCTTTGGCCTATCCAACGAAGTATATCGGTCCCCTCTACGCCTGTGGATTGGCGTTTGACGAGTTAAGTGGCTACTTTTCATCGGAAGGGCCCACATGACCGATGAGTTGAAAGCTTTACCGTGTTGCCTTGCACATTGAACACCTTTGGGTTGAAGGATGAGTTCGTGCTAGAGTGAAGCGTATGAGTTTTAGGGTTAGAAAAAGTCTTTTAGCTATTTGGCCACTTTCATAAATTGCGTTAGTATTATTATTTGTTCTATTTATAAATAGTTCTGAGTTCATCTAAGTTTATATAAAGCAAATAAACTTTCTGTTGGTATGATGTCATGTTTGGCCTACTAGAAAGTCTGAAATGAATTTGTATACCATTTAAAGCTAAATATCTCAGAATTAAAACATATGTACCTCTATATATGAATACCTCGAAAAGTACGGGCATTCAACAAATATATGTACTAATAAACTGCTTCGTTGACGAGTAGTCGCAAGTGCGACTCGGCAAGGGATCTCGGGTTTGATTCCCAGGTCGGGCAAAGTACTACAGGGTTTTTAAAAAAAATCTCAGTAGTAGCACGGAGTCCGGAATTGTACACGGTATATGGCAATGGGATTCATAACAACATAAATAGTGAAAAGTGGGTGTTATTAAGTGCCGTAATGTGCACCTCTGCCTAACCCTCCGGGGATAAAAGGCTTGATGTTATGTTATATTAATAAATACTGCATACTATTTCGGAGAAAAAGACATTTCAGTTTTTTTATTGCATTCTGTCTTAAAATCGCCTAAATAAAATATGTAAATTACATGCAATTTCTGTTCAATTTATGCCTTGTTGTGGTGTCATATTAAATTATGTCAGCCTAGGGAAATCAACAAAGTAAAATTAGCTAAATAGCCCATAATATTTCAATGTCTTTTTCAACTTGAGGTAGTTATTATGAAACTTATTTCTATGACAAAGAGCTGTATATTACACTTACGGGCAAAGAAAAGGAGCCACTAGCGTTTTTTCATTTAATCGAACCCTTAACAACTTTAAAAAATCTTTTACAATTAAATGATCTCATATTAAAGGTAACTATCTAAATTGCGCAGAATGCGACGCGCCATAGACATTTCTAATTACACCCCACTACACGATCTCAATACTCAATACCAATAAACGAATAAGAAAAAAAAACACGTGTTCATAATTTTAATAACAGCTGGAATCGAATATTTTAATAAAGTTTCGTATTAATTGTGTTTTAAGTAAATATCATCGATAAACAATTGAATTTACTCGTAATCGAATAAACTTAATCCGATACATGTGTATTAAAACCTTTAAATATCATGAGCTCATCAATTTGCGATTAAATATGGACATAAAAAGGTTGCAGCGCTGCACGTCTCTGGGAAAGCCTTATGTTTAGCAGCAGTAGTGTCTAATATGACAATGAAAATAACGATATTATGACTATGACAATGAAATATTATAATTTGATCCCCGTTTTGGAAGGCTTAACGTCATCGCACACCTCAAGTATGGCTCTGGCACGGCGTTTTTTTATTTGGAAATAATACAAAAAGGTTGGAAGCGCGCCGACGACGACGGCCACGGTGCACCGCCGACGGCGCGCGGGCGGCGCGCATACAGCTTTTTTATATTGACGCTATTTATTTATTTATTTCAATTAAATAGTATAACGTTACAGTCATAAAACCAAGGCGTTATACATTTCAAATAATTATAAAAAGATAAAAAAACAAAACAGTTATATGAACTATGCCATAGGACATACGAATTAAAGTTCATATTTACACGACAAGTTAATGGCTGAGTTATAGCCGTGCCGGAGCCGTGCTTGGTAAGTGTGCGATGACCGATGATTACCTTTATTGTGTAAAACCTTACCTCCTAACAAGAAAAACTTCATTTTAATTAATAAAAGCTGTAGTAGGTAACTTTGTAAATAACTAGAAAACTATTCAACACAATCTCTTCTAAAGTTGTAGTATCAAACAATTACCTACTAGATAAGTTAAAGCAGTAAAAAAGTAAGGTGTCTAGTAGATCGTTTATCCTGGGATGCAATTTAACTGTAGCGTAGGAAATAGGGCGGGGTGCTAGTTGATAGGTCAGCGATTTGTTAACCAAGCACTTGTTGGAAAGTAAATAAAATCTACGTTCCTATTCTATTTTTGTTTATGCGAGAAGTTGTTGTTGTATGGGTTGGTCGAGGTTTGTGGTCTTTATCCATTGGTAGTAGGTACTTATAGTTGGCGTTACCAATGTCGAAATAGTTATAAATGTGAGTCTAAAGTTGAACGTAACATCTCTAACTGTATAAAATATTTTGAAAATTGAAGAAAATTAAAAAGAATGAGTTAATTTATTCAATAGGTTAATAAGGCTTTGAGTTTTCTGACGTGACGACATGTATAAAACCTATGTATGGCAATTTTAGGCTAAAGTAAACTATTCATCAGTAATATTAATATATCAAATAACGATATTTTGAATAACTTTATCATGCATGCTACGCTTTAGCATACTGCAGTCCCCCATATCACATGTCATACGTAGTCGTCTAGTGTGCTGTCGATCCTAGAATTATTAATACACTTATGAAATATTAAATGTAATAAAATGTCATAGGTCAATGTCATCAATAATTGTTTCTAAGAACTTGTTAGGTACAGGTGTGGCATAGTTTCAGAGGAGCCTATTGCTGTATACCAGGTACATTTCCAGACTTCGTGCTACTACTGAGATTTTTTGAAAAAAAACCCAGTAATACTTTGCCCGATCCGCGAATCGAACCCGAGACCCCTTGCCCGGCAGTGGCTTTTGCGACCACTCGGCCAACGAGGCAGTCAATAATAAAATAATTAAAGCTAATAATTGTGGAATCAAATATGTTTAGATTTGATTGTTTTATTATATACTAGCAGCCGGGTTCGCACGGGGTAGACATTTTTTTTCATAAATGAAATGATGCCTATGTCAAATTGGAAGAATGTAGCATTCTATTGGTGAAAGAATTTTTTAAATCGGCCCAGTACTTTTTGAGCCTATTCATTACAAACATACAAAGATACAAAAATAGGTATAAATCTTTCCTCTTTATAATATTAGTATAGATATATTTGATGGGCCGACACGGTTGACAATTATCTCGCCTGGTGTTAAGGAATGATGCGGTCTATATTTACAAAGACTTTATACTTGAATTTCGGCTTTAATGGTAGTGCAATAGTTGTGTTTCGGAGAGTATGACAACCTTAAGAGATACTCTCATCTCTCATCCTTTATGTGACTTCGAACAAAACATTACCCATCCATTAAAAGGCATCAAACTGGAGGAATAACTTTAAAACAGCATAAATGCAGTACATAATAAACTCCACTAGGTACATAAACAAGTAAACACAAACTCTATATAATAAGTCATCTACCTACCTCTATGGCCGAATTCCGAACGTTGTAGTAACATATTCGAGATATTAGCAACATATCCCAATAGATCTAAGCCGACATTATGCATAACTAGTGTATGTAAGCTCCAATATACACTGTGCATTACCTGTTGTATCACCGAGCCGCGTGCGGCTTGCTACGGGAAACTGAACACCTTTGAGACTAGTTCCTTAGTCAGTATGGTCGATAATGTGAACTGAGAGCGATTTGGTCGGTCCACGTCTCCTTCAAGCTACCGTCGGTGCATAACCTTACATAACATAAGATGTTATGTTGTATATATGTTAAAGGCGTGATGATGCCTTTATCCGCGAAGGGGTAGGCAGAGATGCACATTATGGCAGTTAATGCTACTGTACAATGTAACACCCACTTTTTACTATTTGTGTTATGAATACCATATAATAGGGGGTGA